CAGTTATGTACTGTAATAAAAACAACCTGTTGTGAATAACCTTTTTAAAGGGAGATCATTTGGCATTCAGAATAGCCTTCCTTTCAGATAAAAATGTTGTGTTTGTGACATATGTAAACCTGGCTTCTTGCCATTCCCTCACACTCCTTCCATTTCCCCTTGCATGTTGAGTACAGCTGAAATGTGTAAACTTTTGTTCAAGCATGCATCCATCTGGACAAATTAAAATTTTGTTTGTTCCCCACAAACCAGGATTCTAAAACACAGTTCAATCCTGATTTGAAACTGAAACAAGTCCACACAGGAACACACATATGAAGCTATCTTAATCAGACTATCAGTTCATCAAACTCAGTATTGTCTTCTCAGGCTGCAGTCAGACAGGCAGTTTGGCCCGATATAGTTGTTCTTCCCAAATGGATTAAATGAGCTCGGTCACACAGCCACATCTGTCAGCCGTTCCCCAGTAATGCTCACCATGTCATACGACGAGCTGTAAACAGAGTAAATAGCCACCACATAACATGTGGTGCTTTCAGTTCCCCGCACATTCATTGTGCACGGCTAGATGTCTGAACAAAGTGGACTGCAAACAAAACAGATTGGCAGTCTGAACCTGCAGATCCATTTCCACCACTGGGTTTTTTTTTTTTAAGTTTCTGCATAAGCACATATACACACCCACACACCTGCATTTGTTGAAAAACGACTAGGCAGCACGCTCCGTGGCTGAGGTGGAACACTGATGCGGATGCCTGACCATGGAACGGCCACGTGGGTGACCCACAGCAGGGTAAGCTGTCAGGTTGGTATGCCCCGCAGCACTTCAAAGCGGTACAGTTAGAGGTGGCAACATAATGCTCCAAGCTGCCAGTCTGTCCAAAACCTCAGAGTGGCAGTAGCTCTCCACAGCCTTACACAGGAGTCTTTCACATCGCTTACAGCCTGGTCTTTTAAAACTGGAGATGCTCTTCCACTGTGCCACAGTACCTCCCCAAGAATTAAAAGATGTTGATTGTGCTAGGAGAACATTAGAGAGCCAGTTTGGTGTAGTGGTTAAGTGCGCAGACTCTAATCTGGGAGAACCGGGTTTGATTCCCCACTCCTCCGCTTGCACCTGCTGGATGACCTTGGGCAAGCCATAGTTCTGATAAGAGCTGTCCTTGATAAAGAGCATTTTCTGTCAGAGCTCTCTCAGCCCCACCTACCTCACAGGGTGTCTGTTGTGGGGAGGGGAAGGGAAAGGAGTTTGTAAGCCACTCTGAGACTCCTTTGGGTAGTGAAGGGTGGGGTATGTATCCAATATCCTCCTCCTCCTCTTCTTCTTTGAAATACCAAGAATTATGACTGATCCACAGTGTTAATTAGTTCTGACTTTCAGGAATAGAAGAGGTAATATTCTTGTCCAGGGCTCTATGGTCTTCTTTGATCATAGGTAGAAAGCAAGAGGATAGTATGTACAGTTGTAAAGTATATTGTCAGTTGTGTGGAAGTATGGTGGTTATCAGATTTATATTTTTTTTAAACCTCGCTTCCGTTTTCTTTCAATAAATGGGTTTCTTAAATAGTACATTTTTCAATTTTAACAGGCTAATTTAAAAAACGGTTTAGTTACACAGCTGTGTTCCTCACATATCCTAAAAGCAACCCACTCTCTGCCTAACTATGACACAGCTGCATTCTCTCCCTGACTCTCCCAGCACACATACAAAAATCACAAATGAAAAGGAGCATACCATGGGTTTGGAATACAAAGGCGCTTTCCCTCCCCTTAATTAACTTGGTTCATTTGTTGGGATCCGTTTAGCCAATCTAATTATTTTGATTCCAATTTCCAGCCTTATCAGGAGCGCAGTGGTGCAAGAAATAAAAATGCCTGTCTTCGCCATATGTGGTGATCTAAAAGCTAACTGCTTCTCATTTGCTGAGCCATCACTGCATGGCCCAGGGGCCCTGTCAAAATACAATTTACACTCAGTCTTCTGGAGCTAGCTTGAGAGGGTTTTCCCCATGTACCAAGGCTGAGCATTTCATATGTCATTTCAGATACGCTACTGCTTGTTGCATCATCTGTCATACCACAGCAAATTCAAGCAAGGAGCAGTGTGCTAGTGGAAAGAGGAATTTAAATGCCTCCAATGTTTTTATTTTAAAAGGGGGAAAGTATCAGACTGCTTTATTTAACACACTTTTGAAACCTCTCAAGCTCTGGAAGGGCTCTAACATTGGAGCTAATTTTGGCATTCCCACAAAAGCAGCAATTGGGCAGAAGTTAATTTCACACAGGAAAAGTCCAGTGCAAATTTAGCCTGCCAGCTGTCACTTAGTCCCCATATCTACTGGTCTCATACATCACATAATTAAGCTCAATCTTTTGTTCCATGCACTGTCACACATACATTGTGTACAAAACTACCTATTGCCCGCAGGATAGTCAGGGATCAAAGTGGCTAAATTTTGGGTAATGATTTCAACTAATTTAGTCTTTCTTCATCAAAATGAGGCCAGAGGGGTGGGTCCTATCGTCCCTTCCGCTGAAGCCTTCTGTGCCTCCTCCAGGGATCAGTAAACCTCCAGGAACAGGAACATGAGGCAGTCCGCTGTAGAAAGAGGGAAATCACCAAAAGTTGCCCTTCCACTTTCCTGCAAGCAGAAGTTACTTCTGCTGATGAAAATGGAGAATTGAATGCAATTTTAAAAAATCAGAAGATAAAAGGAATAATAATAATTATTATTATAGTAGTAGTTGTTGTTGTTACTCTTATTACCCTAAGTTCTACAGTGACTGCAAACAGAGCAATTTGCATTCTAGTGCAACTGTTGTGGGCTTTTATTTCTTATTATTATTATAAATATCACATGTTTGGCAAGCTGTCTGGCCTCCCTTAGGATGATGAATGTGGCAACAAACAATTTGCTGTATCTTTAGAGAAATGGTCAATTCAATTACATTACGCCAGAAGCTCTATTCCTCTTTGCCAAATGTCTTTGCTGTATCCTGCTGCAGACAGCCCATTTGTATTCCAGCACAGTAGGACACTTGTTTTATTGACGCATACAGCTCTACTTAGGTACTATCAACAGAACACAATTTCAGTTTTCTAGCTCTACATTCCTTTTCCTACCTGCCTACTCTCCCTCTCTTCCACTGGTAATTAGGATTTTCGGTATTACTGTCTCTAACGAGTATGCGTTACTAATTATGTGCCTGAAACCCAGCAGCTATCAACTATGACAACAAAATACATTAGTGTCCAATTACAGATTTTTTTTTTTGGCGGCAGCGGTTTCCATTTTAGAGGATTTAACCATTGCACTTAAAGTGAAGCCTCAGATTCTCCCCTTGAGAGCATGCCACTAATTGCTTCTGTTTTGCCAGCTATTGCTAGAGCTGGTTTTGCTCAAAAGGATCAGTAAAGATGCTTTCTAAATATCAAGGAGCAAGAAAACACACAGAGACAGACAGAAACAATGCACCAAGAGCCCTGTCAGTAATCAGCCTCTTTTAAATATACTTTCTCTTTCTCTTCCATTCCCTTCCTCCCCTTTCTCCAACATTTAGTCAAGGAATACCACTTCAGCAACTCATTAACCACAGTCTCCTTTTTAATTTACTCAGTCAGTGAGAAAACAGCACCTGCTCTCTACTACAAAGCTTCCCTCTGTGCAAAAAGGATAACAAACATTGTGTGTCAACAGCATTTGACTGGAACCAAGCAAGACCCAGAGAAATATAAACCTTATCAATTTATCATAGCCATGGCATCATCATAAAGGGAACCGTCTAGCCTCCAGAAATCACTTAAGACATCCAACTTCTAAACGAGCTTGTAAAACTATATATTGTTATTTGAAAAACAACATCTACTTCCAAAGCCTTCACCAGTGGCCATAATCAATTATCACATTTATGACCTTGTAAAACAGTGGAGTCTATATATCTACACACCAAGGCCAAACATGGTGCTGGCTTCCCCCCCAAAAAAAGATCCAACTACTTATCCCTTCATTCTAATAAATTGTTAACCTGAGTTGCAAGCTTTCACCGGTTTAATTGAAAGAATAATCAGCTATAGCATTAGCTAATTAATTGAGAGGTCCAAATGTAATACTTCCCTCACACAACTAACCAAACTGGAAACCAGTAAGCCAAGCTTTTGCCAAACAGAATTAAACCATCTCAATCTTATATTCAATTACCTGGAAACAAACCACCATCAATTCTGCAAGATTTACTTCCAGGATTAGACTGCTCAAGTAATAAATGTCACATTTAACCTAAGTAGCCAGGAACATGGCCGTTTGTTTTGAATCCAAGGGATAACAGACACCACTCTATAAATTGCACAGTAGCACAATACGAGGTAGGAGCTGAACAGTGCAATGGTATGCAGACTTACTCTACTCTAAGCATATTAATTTCAACTGGCATACACTGGTTTAATTTCGCAAAGGATTGCATTGTTAGTTTTACAGGAATTGCACTATATTATTCTAGGGTAATCCCAGCAACAGGGATAACATACTTAGTCCTACAAGAAAGTTATTCTTCCTTGAATTTTACTTCACTACCTAAGTCTTACAATTCCATAGTTTCATACAAAGATTTTTCTTTTGGACCAACTGGGCCCAAGTAACATTGGGACACATGAATAACACCAGTGTCCATCCATCATGGATCTATCATGATTGTAATTAATACCATTCACACACCTACCAATGTTGACAGAGACCACAAAGTGAGACATATCAATTACACTGTTGCCTACTCCAAGTAAAACATGGAGGATTGTGATTTCCTATTTCACTGATAAATCGGCAGCAAATGTTTAAGAGCCCACTTTTATGGAGATCCCCCCAACTCTACCATTCTGAATACCATTCTCTAGGCTAGGAGAGTCAACCCAATAAACGATATACTGTTTTAATTTACATTGCTTTCACCTTATCATGCCCATTTTAGTTATGTAAAAGGAATATAATTTCAACAATGTACTTACTCTGGAAAGGAATGCTGCCAAATTTCCAGATTCTTCCAATTTCCACTTCAGGCCAGTTTTCTAATTTTAGATATCCTGGCAAAAGAAATAAGGGGGAGAGCAGTTTTTGAAGACTATATATATATTGAAGACTATATATATATTGGTTGAGGTGGCGGACATCATATTAGATCAGGGGGGCCCTCCCCGCCCTATGAGGTACAGATGTTTTTATGTATTGACTGGTAGGAATTTGGACACTTGCTAACAACTACTTGGTAAACAAATTTTATTTTCTCAGGAATACAACATATAAAACATTTCATTCTATCAATTGTCTACCCCATTCCCAGTTCCTCCCCTCCCTCCAATGGCTTCCCACAATGCTTCCACCCCTGCTCCAAATTACTTCATATCATCAACAATATCAGTTTTTCATCATTACAATCTAAAGATAACATCGTTTGACTTAATATTGATCTAAACATATTAAGTTTTGTTTCACATCCCAGTTCTTTTCCAGATAAATTTTAAAATCATTCCATTCTCCAAAAAACTCATCGTCTTCTTTGTTATTCAGTTTTTTTGTAATCTTATCCATTTGTGCCATGAACAGAACTTTTTGTATCCATTCTTCAACCTCTGGTACCTTTTCTGTCTTCCAAAACTGAGCATAAATCATTCTCGCTGTCACTATCAGGTACCAGAGTAAAGTTTTTTTAGTCGTATTGACTTCTTCCATTTTGAGTCCCAAAAGCAGAATTTCCGGTGCTTTTTTAAAAGAACATTTCAGTATTTTTTGCATTTCATTGTGGACTTTTGTCCAAAAGTCTACAGCTTTCTCACAAGTCCACCACATATGATAAAATGAGCCCTCATGCCTCTTACATTTCCAGCATTTGTTTGACATATTTTGATTCATATTTGCAATCTTCTTAGGTGTCATGTACCACCTATACATCATCTTATAACAATTTTCTTTAACATTAGTACATGTCGAGATCTTAATAGAGTTTTTCCACAAATATTCCCAAGTTTCCATATCTACTTCCTTATTCATATTAATAGCCCATTTTAACATTTGTTCTTTAACAGTTTCATCTTCAGTATACCATTTTAACAACACCTTATACATTTTAGAAATATTTTTTCCTCCTCCACTCTCCCATACCTTTTCAATTTCATTTTTTTCCTCTCTAAAACCATAGTTTTTTTTGTCAGATCTAAAAAGATCATAAATCTGCATATATTTCAACCACTCATATTCATATTCAATTTCATTCTGCTTTTTCATTACCCACTCTGTTCCCTCTTTTTTAATTAAATCTCTATATGGCAACCAGTCTCTACCTCGCTGTCTTGAGTAAGATATCAACACTTCTACTGGTACAATCCACAATGGTCTTAAGTCACTCTGGTACTTCTTATATCTTGTCCATACCATATACAAAGCTTTTCTCACCAAGTGAAGTTTAAAAAAACTGTCCATTTTTATCTTGTCATACCATAAATATGCATGCCAGCCAAATCTACAATCATGCCCTTCCAACCCCAACAATCTGTCATTTTCAAGCTTCACCCATTGATCCATCCATGTTAGACAAACCGCTTCATAATATAGTCTAAGATTTGGCATTTGTAGACCTCCTCTTTCTTTGGCATCACAAAGTATTTTCATTTTGATCCTTGGTTTCTTGCCTGCCCAAACAAATTTTGACAACTCTTGTTGCCACTTGGCCAACAAATCCGTTTTATGCAGAATTGGTATTGTTTGGAACAGGAACATCAAACGTGGTAGGACATTCATTTTTATAACTGATATTCTTCCCATCAGTGATAAGTTCATTTTATCCCATTTCTTAAAATCTTGAGTCAGCTTAGTCCATAATTTCTCATAATTATTCTTATATAGGTCTATATTTTTTGCCGTTAATTCAATTCCAAGGTATTTTGTTTTTTTAACTACTTCACATTGTACCAGTTCTTGTAGTTCCACTTGTTTTTGTTTGATCATGTTTTTACATATAAGTTTTGTTTTATTCTTATTTACGTAAAAGCCGGCCAATTCTCCAAACTCCTTTATTTTTTGAAAAAGCAATGTCAATTTTTCTGTTGGGTTTTCCACCATAAACATTACATCGTCTGCAAATGCTCGATATTTGTATTGGTGTCCTTTATGTGTCAAGCCCTTTATTTCTTGATCGTACTGTATTTTTTGTAAAAGTATTTCCAATACCCAGATAAATAATAACGGTGATAACGGACAACCTTGCCTTGTTCCTTTCTGTACTTTGAAGTTATCTGTCAGTTCTTTATTCACATTTATTTTAGCTCTTTGTTCAGAATAGATAGCTTCAATACAATTTCTAAAATGTTGTCCCGCTTCAATCTTTTCCATCATCTGGTGCATAAAATTCCAATTAAGATTGTCAAAAGCTTTTTCTGCATCAACAAACAGAAAAGCTACTTCTTTTTCTGGGTGCTTTTCATAATATTCAATTGCGTCCATTACTATTCTTACATTGTCTCTAATCTGCCTTTTGGGTAAAAAGCCCGCTTGATCTTCAGAAATTACCGTTTGTAAATAGTTTTTCACCCTTTCTGCAATAATTTTTGCAAAGATTTTATAATCGTTGTTCAAAAGAGATATTGGCCTGTAGTTCTTTACATTTGTTGAATCTTGTCCTTCCTTTGGAATCAAAGAAATAATTGCTTCTTTCCATGAGTCCGGCACCTTTTTGTTTTCTCTTATTTCGTTGGTTAAAGCTTCCAGGACCGGGGAAATTTCTTCTTTCATCTTTTTGTAGAATTTCGCTGTAAATCCGTCCGGCCCAGGCGCCTTCCCCAACTTTGTCTCTTCTATTGCCTTCATCACTTCTTCTTTTTGAATTGGACCATTTAATAAATCTTTGTATTCCTTACTTATTTTTGGTAGTGGAATCTCCTTTAAATATGTTTTAATCTTCTCAAGATCAACTCTAGTTGTTTGGAATAGTTTAGCATAATACTTGAAGAAACATCTCTTTATTCCATTAGGATCAACGAACTCTTTTCCATCTTCTATTATTTTGGTTATCATTCTTCTCTCTCTTCTAGCCTTAAGTTGCCAAGCTAAGTATTTTCCCGGTTTGTTCGCCCCTTCAAAAGATTTCTGTTGTAACTTCTTTAAATTCCAATACATTTCCTGATTCCAAGTCTCATTCAGTTGTTCCTTCAGCAACTTTAATTCTTTAATAATTTGCTTTTTTCCAGGCTTCTTTTTTAATTCCTTTTCTTTCTGAGCAATTTTTTCTAACACTTCTGTTTGTTTTTGAAGTTTTTCCTTTTTTTGCTTCACGTTTTGCGAGATGAGAATTCCTCTCATCACCGCTTTATAAGCATCCCATACAATCTGTATCGGTGTTTCTTTATTTAAATTTTGTTGAAAGAATTGTTTCGTTTCTTCCTTTAACATCTCAATTACTGTTTTCTTATCCAACAAGTCTTCATTAATCCTCCACAGAAAGGGTTTTTTCCTTTCTGTGGAACTCCATACCACCGGATTGTGATCTGAATTACATCTTGGCAAAATTTCAGTCTTATGTGTTTTCATTGATAATTCTTCAGACATCCAAATCATATCAATTCTGGAAAAAGAGCAATGTCTATTGGAATAAAAAGTAAAGTCTTTCTGCATCGGGTTCCATTTCCTCCAAACATCTTCTAATTTTTCTTGCTTAACTAATTCAAAAAAATTCTTTGGCAGTTTTCCGCTGAATTCGTTGTCCTTTTGTGGTTTTCTGTCTACACGATCTATTGTCCCATTAAAGTCTCCGGCCATAATAACTTGCTCATAAGTCAATTGTTGTAATTGGTCAGTTATATCCTTAAAAAATTTTTCCTTTGCTCCATTGGGTGCGTACACGTTGATCAACAATGTTTTTTTCTGCTGAATCATTAATTCCACACCCACGTATCTGCCATCTATGTCCTTAAAAATTTCTGTAGGTTGTAACTCCTTCTTCACATATGTCACAACTCCTTTTTTCTTGTTTGAGGCCGCAGAACAAAATTCAATTCCAAATAAAGCATTCTTTAAATATTTTATATCCTGTTTTCTAATATGTGTTTCTTGCAAGCATATCACGTTGCATTTCTGTTTCTGTATCCAATGATTGATTCTTTTCCTCTTGTTTGGTGAATTTAATCCATTAACATTCCATGACAACAATTTGTACTCCATTATGCGTTTTATTTTAAAGTTCTCCAAAGACGTCCGCATTGTCCGCCTTAAATTTATAAAAGTCCATCATCGATCTGATCTGAATCCTCCCACCTTGATACGTAAAGGATAAACCTTGTGGAATCTCCCATCTATATCTGATGCTCAAAGCTCTGAGTTTGTCCGCCAAGGATTTATACCTTTTCCTGTCTTGCAGTATTGTTCTTGGGAGTTCTCTCATCACCATAATTTTGTTTCCCTCTATTTCAAAAGGGACGGTGAATTGCTTCTTGAATATCTCCTCTGTTGTTGATCTTGTTACAAATTGTACAATTACATCCCTTGGTAAATTCTTCTTTTCTGCAATTCTGGAGTTCACTCTATAAATCAAATCAAAGTCTGAGTCCATTGACCCTTCCTCCTCGCCCAAAAAGGCCGTTATCACTTCCATCATTTTTTCTTTTAAGTTCTCATTCTCTGTTTCCTTAATGCCTCTGAATCTCAGATGAGTCTGCATCCTTCTGAACTCCATCATTGTCTCTGATCTTGTAATTTGTTGAGTCAAAGAATCTTGTTTCTCTTCTATTTTTTGTATCTTCTCCTCTGTCTCTGTAGTCTTGGTTGCATTTGCTTGAACATCCTTCTTAACTCCTTCCATTTCTTGCTTGATTGAAGTTATTTCTGTAGTAACCAGTTCCTTCAATGCTGTTATGTTCTTCTCTTGGACTTCTTCTAGATGTTTCAGATGAATCTGAGTTTGCTTCTCCAGTTGGTCCCCCAATGTTTTTTCTATCTGCTCCCCCATGGCTTGTATTGCCTCTGTCATTCTCTTCTCCATTGCTTCCATGGAGGCCTGCATCTCTTTTTTCTCGCTTTACCTTGTCATTTTGGGGGT